AGCATTTAAATAATTAAATTAACTATAGATATGAATTTAAATTTGAAGTTAATATAACTTGTAGATATATAAATATTCACGTGAAATTCGTAAATATAATACTTGTTATGCTTTTTATTTCATTTTATAATTAATACTTGACAGTAATCTGTATAGATATTAGATAAATTACATTTATTCATAAGTTATTTCAATTAAATTAAAATTTTGATTATGAATCACATAAATATTGCTTTGAAATATTTAAAAAATTACTTAAATTAGTTCTGAACTATTTTATTCCGAATTAGTTTTTCTAAGTAATTTTATGATAAATTAAAATTATTTTTTATTATTTAGTTATTTTAGAAAAAAGTAAAATTTTGATTTCAGTACCTAACATCAGTTAAAATAATGGCTATATAAGCTATAGGGCTTCAATTACATATCAGGAATTGTCTAGGCATATAGTGAGCATGCGTATGATTATTGTGTGATTAATAAAATCAATAATTTTTATTTATGAATTTCATTGACACAAGTAAGATATGTTTTGGCCAAATATTCAGTTATCCTTGAAATTCTGTTTTCATAAATTTATTTTTATATTTTAAATACACTCTACTATTCTAGTGTTAATACAATTTATTGTAAATATAAAGATTTATAGCTTTATATAAGAAATAATTATATTATTATTTTAGATGAAATTATAAATATTACCTATATCAACTAAAAATAAGTCATGTGAGTAATTGTTAAAATTGAGAAACATGGTTGATGAACTATAACCAAGACTTTAAAGTAAGTATCAATACTTGCCTAGAAAAAAAGTTAAATAATAAAAGTGTAGGTGTGTAATTGTATTTAAAAAGCTTATTGAATATAATATAATGATAATGATTGATTATTTAAATTAATAATACAATTTTAAACACTATTTCAGTTTGAGAATAGTTATAATTTATTTAAAAATTTTATTTTTAGTTTATATTTTTGAGATATACCAATCACACAATCCTGTAATACATAATCGTGTTTATTTATTTTTTATATTTATATACAAGAAGCTCGTTTAGAAAACGGTTTTATAGACTTTGCTATATTACATAATATATTTTGTGTCTTTAAATAAAATAGACAGTTTTTCCATATAATTGTATGTCTGTTTGCAACACTGTATAATATTATACAAAATTTAGTTAATTGACATAAAATCAGTGATTTCCCTAGATTAAATGGGTTATGCAATTTAAATGACTAGTAAGTCACAATTCAATATTTCAAAATTTTTTGGAAAACAATATTATATTTTATAAATAAAATAACAAGTTTTATAGAAAGAATATTGCCTTTTAAAATGTACTCATTTCGAAATGGAAAAATTCAAATGTCATTTTAAAAGAAACTGAAAATATGCAGCTATTTTAACAATAGCCGATATTTTATACCAGATTATAAAAATGTTGCATTTTATCCTATTTCTATGGTATAGTATTACAGTGTAAAAATAATTTGTCATCAACTTTAACAGAAATCGATACTATATAAATAATATATATATATATATTTTTTTTTTTTGTGTTGGATAAAATCTACAGTGAATATGATTTAATGGATTAAGTATGTAGTTAAATTTGTTGACAGTCGTATAATCTAGGACTATTTCGTCTTAAATACACACTTATTTGATAACCAACGAACTGCAAAGCAGTTATGTAATTTTCTTCTCAATATAATATATTTTGGTATCAAAAACGTATGAGACTGCAAAATTTGAAAACTGATATGATTAGATAAAAATCTATTAGTTTTGACTCAAAAAGTTATGTAAACGATTTAATGATAAGTCATATGGATGTTCTGGGGTTACAGTTCTTATATATTCAAAAAAGTTTCTGGTTATCTGATTTTCCGGAATTCAACATAAAGTCAGCATAAAGTGTACACCTATATATTTTATACTTAGTTTATTGTAGGTTAAATAGTATGTAGGTTTTAATTGGGTTTCAATTATTGTTTTTCAGCTTTGCAAGTTTTAAAGTTATATTGATATTAAAATCGGTAATTAAAAATGATAATAAGTTTCCACAGAGTAAGCTTCCTACAACGTTTTGAATTCAGCGAATACTACACTCTCAGGGTACATTGTTAGTATTTTCCGAAATAAGTGAACTTTATCTCTTTGGTGTTTTACAATTTCTGTGTAGAGTGTGTGAAAACTTTAATTGAGCTATATAAACTGTACTGCAATAGTTACAACTATATTTACAGGAGCGGGAGGACAATCGCTCTGCATGAAAATTGTTTGATTCAAAAGTATATTGCTGCCAACAACTAACATGCGTCGTCTATTGTCATTTTTTAATTATAATTTATGATATTTTTTTTTATCCTATCGCAATTTTATGTGATAATAAATATTATTTTGTTGAGTAAATTCATCATGGTTTGATCTCTAGTTAAATATTATTGATATTTTATTATAATCTTATATAATACTATATAATTATTTTATATAAATTAAAATCTGTAGTGTGGTTAACATATAGACAAGTTTTGCTATTGTATCGCTTAATAAAAATTATTTGAATATTTAAATTAATTTTATTAATCTATAATTTATTACTACGTATAATTAATATTTTGTAATTTAACATTTAAATCTTTTTTTTTTTTTTTTGTTGTTGTCAATTTTTTATCAAATAGATAAACTTAACCAAGTGAATTATTATAATATTATATTCAAATCTTATTTTTTAGATGTTTTGTAGCTTATATATATTAATTGATTGTTGTATTTATTTTATTATATTTATTGTTTTTGACTTTAATTGATACAATCACATAATTTTTCAATATTATAAAAATAATATCGTATTTGAAACGTTATGGCAAAAAAATAAAAATTGGTAAGGTTGTAAAGTTTAAAAAAAAAAATACCCATAGAAACAAATTCAAAAATACATTCGTTACTTATAAAGTTCCTAAATTAGACAAATATTTTCTGCTAAGTATACCTAATGATTTGATATGTATTTCTCCAATATTAAGTGCTTGTAAGTCATTATTAATTTTTTATATTCAAATATAGTTGTAGTGACTTATTTTGTTAAAGAGGTGATATCAAAATTACCTGGGTTGTTAAAACTGTAAATACGTCTCTCACAACTATCAAAATCATATTAGACTCTTTAACCCAAAAAATTTATAATAATGGTAATATTATAATATTGATATTTCGTTACCTCGAGTGAAATAATCATCTTAAATAGTTTTCTTATTCAATAATAGATGATTAAAATAAATCGATATGTTGAACTTTATTTTTATTGTCTTTAACTTTTGAGATGTCAAAAGTTTACTCTTAATTTACTGTGTGCATCACTTATAATATCAAGTACTTCAATATATTTTTTAAAAATATTTTGAATATATATATATATATACATACATCGCATATAAAAAGTCTTACACTGTTTTCGTATAATACACACTCACTATATACGAGTAAATACTGTTTTAATAACCTTCTTTTAACTTTAAAACTTACCTAATTATTCAAATACTTTAAGATAATTAAAAATTTAATTTTTAAAATATTTATGAATATATCACTTAAACTAGTAATTTTATATTTTGAGGAAATTAATCAAACGCATTATGAGTTCTATAATAGTTTTATCTCAACCAGTAATAATATTAATACAATTATCACGTTTAAAAATATTAAATTAAAAAAAGTAATTGGTGGACATTAAAATTTTAAATGTATTACGGTGCTATACAATATTATTTAGGGTAATAGTTTAAGATTATCAATAATTGATACGTTTGCATTAAGTTTTCTTATAAGGTGTTATTATAAGCGATCAAAAATCAATTTTTATAGCTTAAAAACCCGACGCAAGTTTTATGTTTAAACACGTCAAATTGTTTAATTGTCTTTAGTCATAATAAGAAAAACGACATCATAAAGGTATATATCGCACATTAAAAAGGTAGAAATAGTCAAATCATATTTAACCAACAAAATTTCTTCTGATGAAGGGAACGTTACCATCCCCTTTTCTATGATCTTTGTTATTAGAAATTGAATAGTGAAAAATGTGTTTTAAAAAAAAGTTATTTTTCATCAGTCATAATTAAAGGTGTTATAGTCTGCCTTAATCAATTTTGATTTGTTGGCATCTAGTAATTCTTATAATGCAATGAAAATCATACTTTTCAGTATGGACTTAATCATTTATATTTCTAACCGAGAAGTTATCATACAAAAAAAAGTGTATTATTAAGGTACGGAATTAAATACTCTAAAAATTCCGTAATTTTTTTTTTTTTTTTTTTTTTAAGTGTAATGTACAGTTATAATCTGTATCATTTTTGATACGATATCATTATAGGTTACAGTAACAGATATGACATTATTATAAATATTTTCAATAAAAAGAGCTACTTGATGGAACTTCTTAATGTATTACTTTTTTTTTTTATTGTTATTAAAACGTATAATAGATCACGATATTACTTGTATATCGTGGTGTTACTCGTAGTATCGTAGTAGAAACCAAATTTTTTATTACAACTATTATATTAGTTGAAAAAAAAACACATCATTCAAGTCGTTTAACTTGTAAGTAATTTTAATAATTGATAAATAAACAAAATAATAGATAAATGAACAAATTAACCAAAACTCTAAATTAAATATCAATACTCGTATGCTTAAGAGTTAAATAATACTAATATATATTTTTTTATTTTTAATAGAATATAGTTTATAGTTAATTGTTATCACAATTTTTTCATCTTATATAATAAACAAAAATAAATAATAAAAACTAAAATTTTAAAAATTCAAAATAAATTATAGAGTAAATAAAAAGTTCTTATTGATGGATAAAATCAAATTTTGTACTTGGAAAGCATTGTTTTAAAACATTTAGTAGAAAATAGCATAATAATTTTGAAATATGTACTTTGGTTATATTGTATTATGAACAAGGGTGCGCTACACTTACCTCCATACGGCTAGGGTGACCGTCAGCCATATAGATATGGTATGAAAAGCTTGCGAAAAATCCGAATGAAGTAAAACGAACAGGGACCAATTGTAGGAGAAGCGGTCGGCGCGTGGATAGTTGGTCGGTCTGAGGTACATGTGGTAAGCAAATGGCACGTACTCGACCATGACTAGCAGATCGGCCACGGCCAGCCCGGTAAGAATGGCGTTGGTGGGCGAGACCATTTCTTTGCGCGTCAGCACGGCGATGTTAAGCACATTCGCAACCGAACCGAATGCGCAAACCAGCAGGCTAGCATAACCGTGGTAGTGGACATATACATCGTGCAAGTCGACAAGCAGGTCACCGCAGTAAGGCGATATGTGCGCTGCACCGCCACCGGCTCCGGAAGTTTCGTTACCGCGTTCCATCCGTGAGCGTGAGTTTCACCTGAAGGAAGAAGGAAATTTAAAATTCACAAACAAATTATCATCATGCAGAAACGGTTTGATATAAAATATTTACAACTATTAATTAGCTTATAAACAATATTCTTGTACAATTTTTAAAAATTATTAAAAAAATATTTTAAATATTGTTATTTGAACATATTATTTAGGAATGTGTTTTACTATAATTAATATCAGCGCTCACGCTGGAAAAGCAGAAGTGACAGCTGTCTCCACTGCAAGATTCCCTCTCCCCCATAGATCTTCTATTAAAATGTTTAATATTTTTAAGTGTATATTATCAAAATGCACTCAAAATACAAAAAAATAAATAAATACTATTATTTCACGTCTATTTTTTTTATTTTTTTTTAATGATAAGAAAGTGTTTTGCTAAGTTCTAGTTTGTTCATTGACAACACCGATTGCAGTACATACAGTATTAAATACGTCACACAAAAGTTAAAATATTAAAATTATGTTTTCTTATTTTATCGATATTTAAAAACATTATCAGTGTTATTGTGGTATTTTAGATTTATAGTTGGGTATTAAATTTATTGTTTTACGATAACGTGTGTTTTTATTTTTTAATTTTGTGACACTTTTTACAGTAGAAAAGTATCAGATCATTAACTGACAGATTTTAGAGATATTAATTATAGTTGTTTCAACTAAAATCACTGTGTACTTCAGATATTATAAATTGTCATAAAAAAATAAAGAGACGAATACATTAACGTTGTATTGAAATTCGATCGGTAATCATCATTAAAAAAAAACCAAAGCGTACAACGACATATTATATGATAGGCTCTTACTTTCTTTATGCATTAAAAAAATATACTTAATGACGAGATATACTAAGTATCTATACTGTACAGCAGAGCGGTTTCCTTTTTTTTTTTATGTTTAATTTAACCGTATAGTCATAAAATGAATATGCATAGTACTCCAGTATGGTTTAACATAATCATATCCATAATTTCGTGTGAGGATTAATTTCAAAGAATGTAGCCTCACCTCAATGCCGTAGTTGGAAATACATTTGGGGGAAAGGTTTAAATTCTTAGACCCTCAGCTATAGCTTACCACTATCAACCAAATAAGAGCACTTGAGTATGCTTAAAATAATATACATAATAATAGTTTAAATTATGAAAATACCACTACAGCTTCAAATGAACTAGTTTAATTCACACTAGTAATATACGAATAATATGTGATAAACAATTGTTAATGTTTATAATGTATATTCTTGGAACTAATTTTTAGTACTTTAATAAAAATTATAAAATTATATAAAACCAGTAAATCAAAGTATTTGCATAGCTTGCAGGTCAAATATGCTAAGCAAATGTATATATATATTTATATTATTATTATGCATTTTATCTGTAGGAAATCGTTAGCGAAGTGCGGTAAAATCCGAAAAAAGTTTTGATACACCTTAATATTAATTATATGTACATAGAGTATTTTATTCGTGGTTGGGATTAGTAATCGGAAACCACCGCACTTGTCATGCAAGCACGTTCCGTATAGTCAATAGGATAAGACACCCCTTTTTGTCACCGCAATCATAATATATGTCGTCACTGTGGCTGATAATGTTCTACCATTTTTAGTTGGCGCCAAAATCGTCGAATTATTTTTCAGTTTGGCCCCATACTTATGTTATATTTTATTATTTGTAATACGTATTGTTGAATGGTGCGCACGATGGCAGACTACGATACGTTAAATATAATATTATGACGCGTTCACATTTCCTTGTATATTAATTTTCGAACGGAAAAACCACAAAAACTCTTCTCGTAGAATATTACAATATATTAAACCACGCAATGTGGGTTGTTAATTAATGTATACATGGTGAAAGAATTATGATTCTAAGAAGAAAATTCATCTTAATAGTATCGTTTATTAGACACTACGTGAAAACATACTATTATTATATCGACTAAAATACCTATCTAAAATTCGGCTAGTCTGTGTATTAGATTTCATGTTATAAGAGGTGAGAAGAAGAGAGAATAAGATTAGTTTAATCACGAGTATTAATTTATATTTTACAATCGATTACAAACATTTAAATCTAATGAGTATAATATGATAACGACATTATACACCAATAAAAATATAAGATAAAATAAATAAATATAAATAGATAAATATATACATATTTATAAAACAAGATATTTATATTATTGATACATATTTGCTTTTTTTTATTACTTTTAGCCTACTTTTGATCTTAGTTATGTTTAAATAATATAGTCCGGTAGTTTTAGATTTTTAGCAAAATGTGTATTGGCCATTTTTAAATAATTTTCTATAACTATAAGCTTAAGTATTATAACATGACTATGGTACATAATATAATGTAGTATATGCATAGCTCACTATGCGATTTAAATATTTAATACACAATAACAATCGGAATTCCAATTGCTATTCTTTTTTTTATTTTTGATATTTTGATAAGAACTTATCGATTTATATGATTTTTTAATAACACAGTTGGTAAAACGGTTATAATTTTCAGTTCTTATTCCGTGGTTATAATTTATGTAAACGACAACATTGTATCATGTAAAAATGGTATTTTTATTATTGTTTGTTTTGTACGATATAATATGATTTAATTATCATATTGTTTTTTTCTCGGTAGTTAATCAATCATTAAACAAGCAATAGCAAAAACGTACTTGAAAAGTAAAAAGCATATTGAATCTAACTACAAATACGACGAAAATAAGTTTTAAAAAGTGCTTAGGCGCTTAAGTTTTTTTTTCATTTGTTTGTTCAAAGAATGCGTTTTTATAAAAAATATGCCCGAATGTCTGCTTCTCCATCAAATAACTCACTGGACGAATAAAAGCTGGAATTTGACTATTTACGCTGACAACAATTAAAATTCACATCAGGATATCGGATTGAGCAATGTAAAAATCGTTAATAGTCAGAGCTCAGCATCGTTTCAAAGTTCAAAGAATTGAAACCATACTCTTAAATAAAGACTGGCATGTTAAAAAAAAAAAGTTTTTAGGAACTGTAGCTATCCGAAGCACCATAGCATCAATTATAGACATACTACATCACACAAACGAGGTCCGTAAAAGCATGCGCTACGATTCGAAGAGTATTATAATATAAGAGCATGATGATTCAAAGCAAAAACGTTATATTATATATATATATATATATATATATATATATATATATATATATATTATGCGTTAATGCTGTTTGCAGAACGGAAAAGGAACTATTTTTGTCGTTTGCAAGTTAATTAATAATAAGAGCTTATAACAAAAAAAAAAAAAGTAAAAAAATTCAACCAATTCGGTAATTTACCTCTATATAAATATAATGTGAATACCACGAATGCTGTGTTTTCTCTTCACAGTCAGAATCTTATCCAACGGCAAAAAAATAAAAATGGTATCCAAGAAACATCTTAACGAATTTCATAAGTATCGTGATATCTTTAATATTTGATGTAACAGTAAATAAATATTGAACCACGATACTATCAGACATCACACACACTATGACAGCGTCGATATTTCAAGGGATAAAAAATAGTGCTCAAACAAAACATAAATTCAATGTTGTGTATTATATCTATGTAAATAATAAAAACCTATTAATTTATCCATTTAAATAAAATGGTTATCCAAAATAAATTATCTGTATAGTTTTTATTGTGACTTAATTTTTCAATTTTATCTCTATATACCTAATATATTTATTTCTTTTTTAAGAAGGCGTTAATTTTTCTTAGCTTAAATAGATTAATAATTTGATTTGATTTGATGTTTTTTTGTTTATTTTACGTATATTTAATACATATTGTATCTTATTATAGTTATTTTCTAGTACCTATATTGTTTATTTTCTTTAAAAAGTTTAAAAAAAAATGTAAAATGAAAAATTCAGATTAAGAATCTTATTTAAAACATATGCATTTACAAGTGTAAACATTTAAATTTATATACTTACCTATATACACATACACACACACATATATATATATATACATTTTATTATTTATTTTTTAATTGTTATCTAGATAAATATTTTAAACGTTATCTATTATAAATTTTAATGAACTTTGTTTCATTCCATTTAGATAATTCTTTTGTTATCTTTCTATAACATTGAAAAATTGAATACTATGATAATATTTTTATTCGTATGGCTTCTGTCATAATTATTATTTTAACAAATGTATGAATGATGATGTTTTTATGTTTCTATACAGAATAACAATGGTATCTCAGCAAAGAAATATTAGCAAAATACAATGTTGATGGATTCATATTTTTTTTCAATTACTTCTGAGACTTCATTTTTCTTCTTTTTTTTTTTTTTTGTTAATCATAAATGTAATCTCAAGATAGCGAGTTTTAGAATAAGAATTTCATCGTTGTTTAAATCATGATTTTTTTTTCTTAAGTAAAAAGCAATAAGTAGAAAAAAAATAGTTTCATCAGAAAACTTTATGGGTATTATGCATCTAAAATTATTTGTATTTTGAATGATTGGACGGTAAGTAAATTATTTATTTTATAAGCAGTACTATATGATACATTAAATTTACGTTTTTAAATGCCAGTTATTAGCATGAGATTACAATAATATTATATAATATTACATTTTATACTGAGCATTGGCATAAATGGTTTTTTAGTTGTGTATTATTTTGAATACATAAACTTTATAGTAATAACAAATGATTGATCATAAGTATTTCGAATGGTAGAACAATATATATGTATGTATATTGTATATGTATATATTAATTGCTACAAGGTAATCAATTCAATGTAGAATAATTTTTAATAACTATGTAATATAAATATTATTATTATTATAATAAATAAATATATATATATATATATATTATTAATATTATTATTATTCTAAATCTTGATTAGAAAATATTTCGGAAATATTAAGATGAAAAATTTGTTAAATGATGAAATCAAATAA